TTTTCCTTAACAACCAAGGGCTCAGTTGTTGACTCTGAAATGGGGGTAGAAACATCCTAGGTTGCTGAAGAGCTAATTAAAGTACCCTCATCAAAGGTCAGTGCAGACACCGCCATCTGGGACCATCCCTAGGCCATGCATGGTGGTCAAGCTTTTGGGGCGACTGCATCAAGACTTGAGATCAGCCCTTTGGTGAAGGGCCTGCCAGGTGCCAGGACAAAGAGTAAGGCAGACAGGTCTTTGAAGTGAAAAAGCAAGCCACCCAAAAGTACTTGCAGATGCGCCTCATCTGTTATTGTTTAAAAACATATACTTTCCCCCAGAAGTTAAAAGGTCTATTAATCAAAACGACGATGGTCACCTCTGTGTGGTGAGATTCCAGATGATTTTTGTGTTCTTTCCTGCTTTGCTTTACCTGTATTTTTCACAATGGACATATACTAAGTAAAAAATACACAATCATGTATATTTTTCAAAATTGAGACTCCTGGCACCCCAAGCAAAAAGGGAAATGCCACATGACATCACCCGTACCAGTTCCTCAGAGGAAGTATTTGTTCTCACACTAGAGTCCAAGACATGGAAGATATCATTAAAACTGTCCTAAAATTGTCTTGCCATTTCCATGTCTGTGACAAGGCACAGGTGTGTCTGAAACACCTGTTGACTAAGGGAGCGAGTACCCCAATGCTGAAGCTGTTCTCTGACAGCTGTGGCTCCCACCTAGAAGCCATCCTGTCCCCCAGGTGACATTTAGCAATATCTGGTGACACTTTTTTTTTTGGTCTTCACTGGAGAGTGCGTCTTGTGGACAGAGGCCAGAAGTGCTGTTAAACATTCTACAATGCACAGGACAACCCCACATCAAAGGATTACAGGATTACGGGTCTCAAAATGTTAATAGTGCTGAGGTTGAGAAACCCATCTAGGGCACAGGGCCAGCTGTTGTATCAAAGAGGTAACCTGAGCCTGTGCTTCTGGTTGCAAAACACTTTCCCCCTTGCAATTGCTTCTTCCTTACCCAGGAGGCTTTGAAACTCTAAGTATGAATCTCGAGTCAGACAGACTGATTTCAGCCCGACATCTACACATCAGCCGGAACTGGCAGGCAAGTTGTCCAAGGAAAACGGCGGTAATACCATGCTTGTGGGCACAGGGCACACCTGTGGCACTTGATTATCGGATAAACATCATTGTTACCATAGGTTCTTCTTGCCTTTTGTAAAGAACAGGGACTGCTTTCCATATTCAAGTAGAGGGTTTTTCCCTGGTTGTTTTAAAGTCTAAGTCTTCTCCCCCATTAAATGGGAAACTCTTCTAAGACCCCATCTGCTTGTAAAGCCCCTGGACGCCCCTCCTCCAGTGTCCAGTACCTGCACATGGCAGGTGGGCCCAGGCTGAGGGTGTGGCAGGTGTGGCCCCAACTGATGTGGAAGAGGACTCCTTCCCTCCCATGTCTCACCCTTCCAGTGCCTACGCACACAGGACACACAGCAATGTCGAAACTCACTGTCCAGAGCGCCCTATGCCATGCCCCCAAGACACTGATTAACTCTGAAAGGGCCCAGCTCAGCAGGGGAAACAGCAGGTCACAGTCCCAGGGGTCAGGCAAACACAACTAAAATTGGGGGTGGGGGCTGCCCTACAGTGAGGGAGATGGACAGAAACACTGGCAGGCTCATCAAGGGCAGCCGCGCTAGACTGTGCACCCCGCGGGTGCTCTGCCTGCCTGCCCACTCCACCCCAGGGAGGGAGGGGTTTTGATAACATCTGCCATTGTGTGCTCAAGGGAGCAGGAACTCTCAACTCCACAGGTGGAGGGGTGGGGGGGTGTGGAGGGTTGCAAATTTGGGATTGCAGGACAGTTGTGCCTCAATTTGGCAGAAAAATATCTAATGCACTCAAGTTTAAATAACTGCGATAACGAAGATCCTGGTACTAACTGGCCACTGTGCGTGTCCTGAGCACGGTGATGCACGTCACAGGTAGTAACTCATTTAATGTTCACAGGAAGGCACGTGCCAACAACCTAGCAAGGCGTTTGACATATTACAAGCACTCCACGAATATCATCCCACCTGGCAGAACCAAGGCGCCCCTTTTCTGCCCAACACTTAATTTGAAAAGGAGAGAAGAGGAAAGGATCTGAGAGGTAGAAACCCAGGAAGGCTCGGGATTCTGGGGGGTCCTGAAAGTGAGACTCAGGATGGGGAGACGAGAAGCGGGGTTCGCTAACCGTAGAGGAAGCAGCGCTGTCCGGGGCTGGGCAACCCCGAGGCCCAAGGGGTCTCAGGCCCACAAGGGAAGGAGCTACTTTCCGAGCCTGGGAGCTGCAAGGGCCCCGGGGGCACCCCCCCCCCCAGCCACAGGGTTGAGAAACGGGGTCCCCCTCTTGAAAGGAAGGCTACCAGTGGGGGGAGCTGCGGAAGGCCGGGAGGGAGGCGGAGGACACCGGAGGCGCGACCCCCGCGGAGCGAGCCCCTGGCGGACCCGGTCGGGACCCGGCAGGTGGAGAGCCCTGGGCGCGGGGCGCCAGGGATCCCCGGGGCCCCGGCCAGCAAGCGCCCACCGGGGGCCCCCCCAAGCCTGGCGCTCACTCACCCGGTCCCCCTCCAGCAGCGGGCCAGCAGGGCGCGGCGGAGCGCAGGCGGCAGCCGCTGCAGCATCTCGGACTCGCGAGCCGTGCGGGGCAGGCGGGTCCCCCCCGGGAGCTGCGGACGGCGGGCCCCGCCCGGAGCGTACCACGAGGGCGAGCTGGGGAGAGCGGGCCACCCCGTCGGGCCCCTGAGTCGGAGTAAACAAAAATGCACCTATACTTACACCATGATAATAAAGCATATCTACTTTTAATGGCATAAATAGGTTGTCAGGTGACACAGGACAATGTAGCTCAACAGAGAAACCTTGAGAGAGACACGTTTCCCCCTCCAATTTTTTATGGTATGGCCCAACTGTGAGGCGGAGCCGAAAGGGAGGGGGCGTGGGGCCCAGCAACCAATCAGAGTAAGCCATGGGCGCCCCCGGGCCAATCAGAGGCACGGTCCTGTTGCGGCCTCCTTAACCCGGGGGAGAGGGGCTGAAAGAGCCAATGAGAGGGCGGGATTGGGGCACGTGGGGGGCGGGGCGGCCTGGCCCGCGGGGCGGGGCTCGGGCGCGTCCAGGGTGGCTGCGCCGGGGCTGCTTCCCGGCCAGTGAGACACCCCCGAGCTGGTCTGCGCTTGGGGTTCCCTGCACAGGCCCCTCCTGCCGAGCCCGCTGCTTCCAGGCTTTGCACCACCTCGTTCCCCCCACCCCCCATCAACATGTGTTTTCTCTTGGAGTTTTGCCTAAAGAAGTAAAACTGGGCCTCCCCGGTGGTGCAGCGCTTGAGCGCTGGGTTGCGAAGCTGCCCGCAGCCTCTGCAGCGCTGGTTCGATCCCCGGCTGCTCCCCGGCCACCAGAGGAGGGTCCCACATGGCGCGCAGACCCCTCCTGCCGCCCGCTGCTCCCCTCAGCAGTGTACTTTGGTCCTTCTGCCTGCTCTGCTCCCTGCTCTGACTCTGGTGAATTCTCTCACCCTCCTGTGCCTCTGAGTGTACCCAGTGCTTGTATAAATAAATTAATAAATAAATAAATCTTAAAAAAAAAAAAAAAAGGAAGTAAAACTCAGATCCTGGAGGCTTCCCGAGTGTTAGAGGGCAGGGAGGGGGCACCCCTGACCCCCCAAACCTGCCTGCTCTAAATAGGCTCTGCCACCCAAAACATATGAGACTTTCATGGGAAGGAACTTTAATATAATTAGGAAACAATACGGGAAAGGCAAAGAATCTAGTTTCTAAACCAAGCACCCAGAGTGACCCGTCCCCTCCTGGGTAAAAGTCCATCCAAGCAGGACTGGCCCAGAGGAAGGCCCCAAAGCCTGCCTCAGGTCTAAAGAATCTTCCAGTGGGGACCCACAGAAAAGGGTCAGAAACCACCAGACAAGCCGGGAGGGAAAAGAGCAAAATCAACATCAAGATAAAAGCCACCATTGTCACCTCCCCACGGGTCTCACCCAGTCCACGACCAAAAGACAAGCGCAGTTTCTTCACGTGCCTCTCGGCTCCATGTGCCTCCTCCAGGTCTCCTTCTGGCTCCATCCTGCTTCCTTCCTTCTTCAGTCCCCTCTGCAGCTTCTTCTCTCTCTGCTCAGCTCCACCGTCCCTTGGGTGGGGCAGGAACCTGGAACCCCCCCCTTTCCTGGGGACCACCCTGTTACGTTATGACGAGGTCTTAGGGACCCCTTCTGTCCCTAAAGTACCTTCATGGCTTTTCTAACACTTCTAATTTATGTTTTTATTTCTCCCAGCAGCACGAACCGCGAGTCTGCTTAGGAGTCAGAATTCCACGCCGACACCACCCTATCCACCATCAATGGCGCTTGGAACTCCTGCCTGGGCCAGAGGGAGGTCCTGTGGTGGCTTCTTAGGTTGAAAAAGCCAAGAAGAGCAGCAATGGGACACATGGGGAAGGAGGGTTGGGCTTTAAACACTAGGCTTCCAGATGGTAAAAAGTAAAGTGTAATTGGTGATGGCTGCTTCTCTTCAACCTTGAACAGAAGAGGCTGGTAGGCAGGCCCAGTCCACGTCGTGCAATGTCTCCTGAATGTGGGGTCATTAACAAGAAGAAACGAGACCATTGGGTAGTATCAAATCCAAGCCCCTGGCCTCCCCAGGGCAGGTAAGGAGGTCTAAGTAGAGGCCTTGTGAGGAACAGATCCTCAATTCCAAACAAGACTGTCGGTTTCCCAGCCTGTGATGGCGTTGGGTCTCACCTCCCCATCTGTGAAATGTGTTTAATAAACTCTGCTCCAACGATTGTTAGTGTGAGATGCAAAGGCAACCCACAGGTGGTGTGAAATTACCCTTTTATCATTAATCGACTGATTACTGTGTTTTGGTCCCCAGTCCTCCTGCCTTTCCCCTAATCACCGTTTCATCTTTAATTACCAAATAAATAAATAAATAAACCCAACACCATCAATTCTAAGACATTTCACTTTATTTAAAAGAAGCCAATATACAGGATATAAAGGGCATGATATTTACAACAGTACAGTAAACAGGTTGGTTTCTGGAAGGATCAGTAGTCTTTCAAAGAGTATAAACCCCCCCTTCCCCTTGGAGCTAGACCCAGGTGGCAGACAAAGAGCAAGAGTGGTGGCGTGGGACGCCGGGACAGTCACCCTGAATGGGGCTAAAAATCAGGTAGATGCTAAAATGTCCACAAAGGGGTCTTGGGGTTGGGGTGCCTTTGCCTCTTTTTTTCAAGACTTGGCAGAGGGAATGGTGAGGGATTTCCCCAAAAGAAACACAGCCCACATTGAGCCTGGGAATCTCCCACCCATGGAAAATTCTCTTCCAGAGAGACGTTGCCTTTGCCCGCACCCACCTGGCTGCCTAGGCTAGGAGAGTGCCCTTCTAGAACCAGAGCTTGGGGTATCCAGGTAGAGGATCCAGGTCTGAGGAAGCCCCCAGTACCCTAGTTCCTCACCCAGGGCCCTGGAGGAGCACAGCCGGGATGCTGCCCAGAGCCAGCTCTGGGCATCTCGTGGGCTTTGCCCCACTCAGCTGCCAGACAACCTGAGCCACTAGGGTCCAGGCCCCAGAGAAGCATTGTGGTCCCCGACCTCCAGCCCACAGCCACCTACTCTTGGGAAGAGAGTTGCTTCCCAACTCTCCCACAGCACAGGGGATTTGGCAATGGACCCCGGCAGACCAGAGCCTGAGTAACTGATCAGCACCCACCCCCTGAAGCAGAGTAGCCCCTTACCATGCCCTTTGCCCTCTTCCGCCCCCCTCAATTCTGCATTCCCCACCGCTCACCCACTCCCACAAGTGCCCTCCCTCTAAGACTTTCAAGGACCATGGAGCTGGGGGGCCAGGGAAACGGGGTGAAAGAGACTGTGCTCTGCAGATGAGGTGGGAGGGGAGATGAGGTGAGGGGTGCTGATTGTATTCAATCCAGCAGCAACATGCATTTGTCCACAGAAAAATGCTGGGCTACCACAACTGCCTACCGTAGATTTAAAAAAGCCTTTCCTTTCACAAAAATAGAGGAGTTTCTTGCTTTATAAATAGATTACACTGAGCTTAAGTTACACTTTATATTATCCCTTCCCCACACCCCGTCCCCCATCCCAAGCTAAAGGGTTTGATCGTCCACATCATCTGATCGCCACCCACAGAGACCTGAAGATGTGACATATTGCCACAAGAAAACAAAATGTGTCTACTTGCCAAAAATTATGTTCCCTGTTCAGTCACAAAAGTGTGTGTGCATGAGAGCAAATGTGTGTATGTGTGTGTAGTCCACAACCAGGGAGCCAAAAGGAAGCTGCTCTTCCTGCCCCTCCCCCAACCTCTCTTTTTATCAAACCCCCAAAATAGGAGAGTAAGAGAGTGCAGCACAGGGAGTCCATCTGAGGATTCTAAAATACCAGTGTCAATATGACACCGAGCTTAGAAGTAGAAAACCAAAACGAAGTATTTACAGCTTTACAAAGAATGGACCCGTCGGTCCCAGCTGGACCCGGTGCTGCCCCAGCAAGCATTGGGGTTTTTCTTGGCAAGCTGTGGGCTCGTGGTGAAGTGACAAGCAGGGCCCACTGGCAACGAACTCAAAAAAGAACTTGGTGAGGAGGGAGGCAGCCAGGCCAAGACCCAGGAGCCCACCGAGGAGGTGGGCAGGTCAGGCCCTTGGTGTCTCCCACCCACCAGGCCCAAACCCTTTCTCCCCGAGGGAGAGCAGAGATTGGAAACAAGCAGGAAGGGAATGTCTGTCTCTGCCTCCTGTCATTCCCAGACTCCCATGACAATTCGGAGAACCCTAGCCCCTCAAGACGAACATCCGATGTGTACAAGAGGGAAAGCAAGTTATACCACAGAACACCCATCGCCGTGGTCACCGTAGCTGCCCTCAGACGCCTTTCTGTCCTAACTCTAAAGATAGACCTGCACCCACCACCTTGAACAACCCGGACTGGCTCTCACTCTGCCCGCCTGCCTGCGACGCCTCCTCAGCCCTGGACACGGGAGGCCCATGTGGCGGCCATTTTCCAGCCCGCCCGGAAACGGAAAATCTTTTCAGCAGCTGAGGTCCAAGCCCAACTGGCTCTGATAACCTTTGGTTAAAATAAGAAAGACACTAAAACAACAACAATAATAATCAGGTACATCTGAACCCTGTAACCTCTAGAACAAGGGTCCGTGTGGAGGAGGGAAAGGGCTGTCTCCCCTCCCGAGCCACCGTCCCTCTGCGTACCTCCCCAGGGCCTGCTTGGTTGGTAAGAGATGCTGGGCAGGGAGGGAGGCCTCTCAGGAGGCTCCTCCAACAAAACAGAAAAACAAAAACAAGAACAACAAAAAAAAAAGGGAAAAACACAATAAAGGCCACCAAATTCTGATAAATAAAAATGACAGTCACTAGCACACTCTCTACACATACATATTATAGAATATTATGTACAATGGTTTTAAGACTACAAAACAGACAGGAGAAATGGACGAGAGAGAAGGCCCACACAGGTCGCTATGACCCTGAGGAGGACAGACCCGAAGCCAGAGCTCCCCATCTGCTCCACCGCAGCGAGCATGGTGCGGGGAGTTCTTGGCCTTGACCTCCAGGGGGAGCTCCTGGGCCACCCAAAACAGAAACCTGCACTCCCCCAAGTAGTGGTACAAAAAGAAAAGGAAGCCTGCGAGGCCTGCTCCGTGAAGACCCCACCAGGGCCCTTGCACTCAGGTCCCCCAAGTCTTGGGGAGATACTGGCTCAGATTAACTCCCCAAATGGTCAGTCGATCAAGTGAAACATGGAAAGAGGCTGACATGTCCATGGATGGGCCTTGCTTCAACGCCAGCTTCACCATCTCGAACCTTTCCTTTCTAATGCCTGCCAAACAGGGGTGTTGGGGGGACAGTGGAGATCCCAGACGGCAGTGGGCTGGGACTAACCCAGCTCCACTGTGGAAGGGGGTGGATGCCAGGCCTGGTGCCCTTCAGACTTTCTCATAGAGAAATTACAGATAAACCCCGAATTATTGGTGGGGAAGGGAGGGGAAACATCAAGTCAACAGGCAATAAAAGACTCCCCTCTCCCACCCCAGAGGTCCCAAGAAAGTCAGCAGTCAGGTGGGCCAAGGGCCTTGCAGGATCCAGGCCTGACGGAAGCCCCTCCTGAGTCAGTACCCGCCCTCGGAGCTGCTACGAGACAGATCGTTCCAGCTCCGGCCTCCCTCCCAGCTCCAAAGCAGGAGTCTGGGACCAGGCCTACCTTCTACAATGATATAAGGCAAGCTGCTTTTTTTGTTGGTTTTGTTTTTTGCATAGTAGTTTAAACACAGTGAGGCTCCACCTTCCCCCACAGTGCCTTGTCCCTCTGCTTTGCCACTAGATCCAAAAAGAAATAAAAATTTGTCTTCCCTCCCTCCTTTCATCTTTCCTTTCTTTCCGTAAGTGGAAAACCTTAAGAAGTCTCCACCCTGGCCTGGAAAAGTCACAGAGTCCAAGGGCTCCTTCCTGGGGGGCATGGACCCCCTCACGGCCAACTCCAGCAGTCAGAGGGCCTGCAGAGGAGGGAGGGCACAGCTCATGGCCAATTGGAGGAGCAGGTGGGAGGGTAGAAAACCACAGTATACCACACCCAGGGCCCCGCCCTCACCTTAGAGTTTTATATAAAAACACCTGCTAGGAAGAATTCTTCGGAGCTCAAAGTGGCTCAGCTTAAGGGAAAAGGCACAGTTTACACTGCATCATCCGGACAGAAGTCTGCATTTGTAATGTGGAGAACAATAGAAATTGACAGCACCATTCCTTGGTGGGTGGGTGGATGGAGAAGGGGCACTGGTGGGTGGTAGGACGGAAGGAAGGAAGGAAGGAAGGAAGCAGCAGTCCCTTGGGGCCTCCAGAGAAGGGAGGACATAGGAAGTCTGTGTGGTGAGGCCTGAGCCCCACTCCAAGGAGCCTTCCTGGCCCCAGGGGGAGAGAGGGCAGAGGCCCCATCACCAAGCCCGCTGGGCACAGAGGCCTCAGTCATCAGCTGACCATGGGCTCCACATCCGCCTCCCGCTCAAACTCGTCCTGGATCTCATCTGTACTTCCTGAGTCGCTGCTGGCCACGGAGCTGGGGGACGGTGAATTCCTGGAAGGCAGAGGAAATAGGGGATGGTCAGAGGACAGCCTGGGAACCCCTGAAGGGAATCAAAACGCAGGAAAGGCTGGGCAGCCACTCCTGTAAAATCAAACCTCAGAGAAGGATTCTGCCCTGAGACCTTGTCCTTGTCCCGTTCTCTTTAGAATCGTCTAGCTCAGGAGTTGAATGTGGCTCTCGAAAGCTGAAAGCCTCCTGGGAGCAGGGACCATGGATCAAGGTTGGTTCTTGCCCTTAGTCACCTATCACAGGGCACATGGTAGGTGCTCAGTAAACTCCAGTCAGCTCAGCACTCAGAGGGAGGCTATACTGCCCAGTGGTTAACAACAATGGGTTTGAATTCTGGCTCCACGACAGATGAGCTGAGGGCCTTGGGCGAACCATTTGCTCTGCCTAAGCCTCCACTCCTCCACCTGAACAATGGAGACAACACTGGGTTTTGGCGGGGGGGCGGGGGGGGGGCCTGAAGACCTGACACGCTAAGGCCCCTCCCACAGAGCTCCCCCAAGGGTCTCTCTTTGACACTCTGAATCACAGCCTGCAGGAATGTAATCAAGTACATTTGTGCTTTGTGCCACCGTTGTACGTGTGATATCTCATTTTATTAGTAGTATGCCAGTCTCCCGAACAGCCTGCATTTCTTGTCTTTGTTTTGGTGCCCCTTAGCAAACACGAGGGGCCTGGTGCGTGTCAGTCTCCCGGGGGCAGAGCCAAACGGCCCTGAGTTCAGAGGGAAATTGCCATCAACCCCACAGTGGTGGAGAGGAGTGTCCCGCCACCTCCTGTATCCCCCAATTCCTCAGAAAGTGGGTCAGAAGCTCCACGAGGGGGCTATGACTATTCTGGTCAGCACTGTGTTCCCATGGCCGTGCACACAGCAGGTCTTTGGGAGGTCAGTGGGGGCAGTAAGATTAGACAGGTAGATCATCTGGTCCATAGTAAGTGGTTAATATTCGCTGGATGGATGGAGGGAGGGACGGATGGATGGATCAGGTTGTAAGCTCTAGCCCCACATATTACCCCCAAGAACCCATCCGCTGAATCCCTAGGGAGAGCAGGGCCAGGCACCTGTCTGCGGAGCCTTTGATGAGCCGGCGGCAGGTCTCCATCTGCACGTCCAGGCCACGCTTCATGCTGCACATCTCCATGTACTCATGCAAGTGTCGGTTCATGTCGCTCTTGGCTGTGGCCAGCTCCAGCTGAGAGAAACCAACAAGGTCAAGGGGGAGGCCAAGTCACCCTGACAGCAGAACCCTCAGCAACCTCACACCCCAAATCCTCAGCGGGGGCAACATCACAGTCACCCCACGCCCTCAGGCCCTGCCTCGCACATATCAACCTCCCTCTGCTCTCTGCATCCTGGTCCATAGCCTCTGGCACATGCGTCTGTGCACAAGGGAATGTTGTTTAGCAACCACAGAGGCAGCTTGATAAACCCTGATAAGCCCCTTCCAATCCTGCCAACTCCACCCTGCCTGGCACCCCTGCACTCCTTTATATGCACTTAGTTAGAAACCCTCAGTCTCTCGCTTCTGATGCTCCTCTACCAAATGATTCGCCCTCCAGAGAAGAAGCAGGGCTTTTCTTTCCTTAGCTGGACAACAATAGCTCTCACTGGGGGACACAGTTACGTGCATAGGCTCTGGAACTCAGAGAACTGGGCTTGAAGGCTGCCCCTGGCGGTGAGGCCTTGGACAAGTCACTTGATCTCTTTTTGCCTCATCTCCTCCTTTGTAAACGGGCACACATCACCTGCACAGGGGAGGCTCCTGGGGCCCGCAGGGACACACACAGGGCTGAGAATGCACGCACATGAGCTTACCTATAAAGGGCCTACTCAGTGCCAAGCATCACCTGGATGCCACTCTCATTATTCTAGGATCATCACCTTAGGGGGATGCCTTCAAACTCTCTAGGGCAGACAGATTATCACTCCATTTTATAAGTTAGGAGAAACTGAGGTTATAAATGGGGTCTGGCTGGCCATGCTCCAGGCTCCCTGTCCTGTATGGGGCCCACTCCAGCAGCCCCCGCCCACAAGGGCATGTCACCCCAGGGGTCTCAACCACGGTGCCTCAGCGGAGCTGTGCGTGGGCTCCCTCACCTCGATCTGGCCTATGGTTTCCTGGTATTCCTTGTCCCTTGTCTTAAAGAAGGATTCGGTCTCGTGAATCAAGTTGCCCAAGTTCTCCTCTTGCTGGAAACAGAACAAAAGAGACCGTTTAGCTGGGTGGTGGGGGTGGCAGGAAGGAACACAGATGAGGTGTCACTGCAAGGAGGTGCCCCACACGCTGCTAGCCCAGAACAGCCCCACTTCCCCGGCCTTGGGGGGCAGCCCCGCTCACCTCGCCCTGCAGGTCGATGGACGGGTTGCAGTTGGTGAAATCCTCCCAGAGCAGCAGCGTGTCTTCATTCTCTTCCCATGTCAGGCTGTCGCAGTCGTCGTCGAAATCAAAGGTCTCCCGCCTGCAGGGGTGACAGCAGAGCCCATGATTGGACGGGAGCCAGGCGCAGGGAGAGGGGACATTCACCTTGCCCGTGCGGTTACCTCTTAAAATGCAAAATGTCTCTACGTCCTCTTTGTGCCACTGAAAACATCTTTACTTTTTTCCAAGATGCCAGGTTTTCATGAATGGAGACTAGAGATTTTCCTCTCAAGAGCCTGCTTGCAACTGTTTGCCATTCACCAGCTCATTTCTTGAGCCCCAGTTTTGTCCGAGTATATTGTTATTCCCATTTTACAGAGGAAATTGCAGCTCAGAAAGAATAACTCACTTGTCCAAAGCCACACTGCTAGCCCGGAACAGAGACTGGGGCCAAAAGTCAGTTCTCCCTGCTCCCTGCAGTTTTCGCCTCCCCGTCAAAACACCACCCAGCACCCATTATGTGCTGGGCGGGGGACTGGCGGCTAAGGCGGCTAAGCGTATATTGAAATGCAATTCACCCAGTCCTCACAACCACCCCACGAGGTGAGCGTGTGATGATTTCCATTTTGCAGGTGAGGAAACCGAGGCTCAGATTCGGTGGCTGCTCTGCCGATGCAGGCTGAAGTCAGACTTGATTTCAAAGCCTGAATCTGGATTCCTGGGCTCCCCTGCTCACCAGAAGCGGAAGTAGGTCACTAATCATACCACTCTGCCTGGGCCTGAGGGGTCTCCAGAGAAGCACTGGGTACCCCAACTGAAAAGGAACTTAAAAACCTTCAGCCCAACCGACTCATCATTTGGTTGAGAAGGCTGATACCCACAGGGTTAACTCACTTGAAGGTGAAGTAGCCACAGAGGACTCGAGGTAGGACGAGAGTCTCCAGGTGCCACCCTGGGGGCTCCCCCCAGAGCCCACATCCCCTTCCTCAACTCCTTCCTGGATCCTGGGGCAAAGCTTCCAGACCTGGGACAGTCCAATAGGCTGTGGTCACCAGGCAGTGCCCAAGGAGAAAGAATTCCTAGTCGAAAGGTGCACCCCCTGGAGCCAGGGTCCCCAGCAAAAAAGCAATTCCTGTGGAGGCCCCTAGATGGTTTGGGAAGTCCAGGGGCCAGAGCTGGGGGCAGCAGAGGGGGGCCCTGCCTCCACCGGGCCCTTGTCACATACTCCACAGCTGACTTCACTTCCTCTCCAGCATCCGGAATCTGAGTTCCCCCACGGAGGAATGGGGAGCCAAAAAGGGCAGGAAGATGGACAAAAGGAGGGCTGAGAAGAGGCTCCCCCACACCCCACTGATCTGGAAGGCGGGGCCGAGGAGGAGGGCTGGCAGCCTGGCAGAGAAAGTAGCAAATTCCTCCCCTTCTCCTTGGTCTGAAGCCCAAGCAACTGATTTTGATCAAAACAAAACAGCCTTGACACGGGGCATTATTCAAAGACTTCAGTGGAACTGGCCTGGGCGGCCTGGGCTTTGGGTCCCAGCCCACAGCGAGTGGAGATGTCAGGGGCGGGGTGGGCAGGACTGGCGGTGGGGTCAGCAGGAGCTGGGCTAGAGCTGCAGGGAGGGGGTGATCAGACCGTTTTGTTTTTTTTTTTTTTAAACTCAGGCAGCTTTACAACCTGATGAACCCAACTGGCTACTGAGCCCAGCTCAGGCCTCTCAGCGCTCATCGCCCTTCCCTATAGCACCTGGAAGCTTTTGAGCACGGATCACTGCCAGCGGAGCCCCCCACACTGACGCTCAGCTCACCCCATTCCTGGGCAGTTCTGGCTCCCTGGTGACTTTTTGGAAATGGGGACAGCGATTTCTTCAGAGAAACCCTTCAATCCCACCAAACCCACTCTAGGTCTCTGGGTCTACAACCTGCCTGAGACTGAGGATGCCCAAAGCAGTGCTCGGGACACCTGGAGCCAAAACAGGCCTTCTCTTCCAAAGCCCCACTCAGCAGCAAAGACATGCTCACAGGAGACTGGGGGTGGTGGGGAAGGGGGAGATCAAAGGATGAATCAAGAATCCAGGAGTCTCCTTGTGACCCTCAAATAGAAAACTCCCCAAATAACAGCCCCATCTCAGTCCTGTTCCAAGGGATGGAATGGAGGGGAATGCTTGGCAAACCCAACCCCTTCCGGCTCAGATTCCTCTCTTCCTTACAAGTCGCCTGGCTCAGCTGAAAGGGACCACGAGGCCAGGGAGCAGGCGCGGAGAGGGCAGAGTGGGGCCATCTCTCAGGCCAGGCAAAGTAGCCCTGGGGGGATGTTAAGCTTCTAGCATGCCATCCCCAGACCTGGCACCGGCAGTGTGCACACAGCTGGACTCGTGAGCTGGCACAAGCCAGCTCCGGCTTATCACAGAGCATATCCGATCCGGACAGCCTGGGCCGGCCTGAATCCCAGATCCAGCACGTATTAGCCCTGGAAGCGGGCCAAGTCACTTCCCCTCTGAGTCTCAGATTCCTCATCTACAAAGGGAGTGATAACATGACCTCCTGGCTGACCGTCTGGAGTCAGTGAAGGCCCGACTGTAAGCGCCCTGCAGACGGAGGGTGCGGAGCCAATGGCCTGAGGCCAGCGTGGCTGCCGGGTCTGTGGATCCGCTCAGCTGTCCCAGAGAAAGGAAAACCAGTGCGACTGGATCCACAGCTTGATCAAGGACTCCCCTGGCTCCCGAATATGCCCACCATTGCCATTTCTGAAAATGCAAAACTTCCCAAACTACAAATGTCAGCCAAAATCCCCTGCGAGCCACTGCCAGCCAGGCCGCGGTTGGCCCGCCCTTCCCTAGCAATCTGGGGAAACCACATGGCGCCCCCAGGCTGGGGTGGTGGAAGACTTACAGCTGGTTAAACATGCGCTTCATCTCATCCGTGATGTTCATGGAGCCGACCTCGTCATCTGGGAACCGGGTCACCTCTCCGTCCTGCTCAGAGTTGTCATCGTCGGAGGCCACCTTCTTCTCTTTCTTTTTGGGGACCACCTGACCCGGAAGGAAGAGATCAAGGTCACTGGGAGGCTCTGCTGGGGTGGGGGGCAGGGTGGGGGGGAAGGGAAACTGCATCCCCCGGATGGGTGGAGGGTGGCTAGCTAGCCACTGCCGGCCAGGGTGCACGGGCCCTCTAAGAAGCTGGCACGTTAGCAGGAAGCGTGAGGTGGAGACATGCAGGACGGAGGACACAGACAGCACAGACCCTCCCCTGATGGGGCTGACTCAGCTCCCTCCTTCACCAGAGAAGCAGCCCCAATACGGGGGGAGAGAAGAGGGCCAGATGGGTGCAGTCACCTGGGTGCCTCAGAACCAGCCAGAGAAACGGACAAACCCAGCTGCCCCCCTGCTCACGGGCCAAGGCAGCAGGCGGGTGGCTCACGGTTCACCACGCTCCCGCCACTCCAAGCAGACAGGACACGAGCAAACCAAAGCGCCAGCAGGTGGAGATGGTGGCCCTGCCTCCCAGCAGAGGCCGTGAAAAGGCACAGGGGTGGACCGAAGGCCGGGAAGGAGCCCAGCTCTCCCTTCTGCGTCCAAAGTCACACACGGAAAGCAACGACACACCATAGTCACCCGGTTCCAGCAAAAGCCACACCAGACCCCAGACTCAGACAATGACACACGCCCTGCACTGGGCTGGATGAACCCCCGGCTGCCCCTGGCCGCCACGGCCCTTCTCTCGGACACACGCTTGCTTGTCAGGGGCAGTGGCCCGGGGTTGGGAGGCGTATTGGAGACTTCGGTAGGAATGAAAATCAGTCAGAGGCCAACAGCTCCTCTTTGCAATTCTGAGGCTCATCTGCCCAGATTCAGGCCGCTCACCCAGGGCTCCTGCAGCCTGATGGTCCCGGATTCCACCGCCACCCGCAATGAGAGGTCTGATCAGCCACAGGAGGATCAGAGTCTGACGGTGGAGTCAGACGCACCTGAGTCTAGAGTCCCTGGCTCTGTGTTTTCTTGGGGAGATCAGAGGGTTGGGGGAGCACTGCTTCTGGGGAAAGGCGTGTGAGGGAAGTAGGGGCTGGCCAGGCAGGGGTCAGGCAGGGCAGGGCTGGGCCGCCCCGGGAGGCTGGCGGTGGCCGGTGAGCAGGGTGGCCCTAGTCACCTGGAAGATCTTGGACACGTCTTCCGAGTTCCGCTGCTGTGCGACATCGCACAGCTTAGCCGTGATATCGATTCGGCGGCAGATGTCCATGTCCACCTTCATGGCCTTTTCTTGGATCTTTGTGTCCAGGTCTGTCATGGGCTGCAGGGAGGACAGCAGGGGGTTACGTGAGCAAGGGACGGAGCAAGCATGGGTGGGGTGAGGGGTGGAGCCGTCCCAGGCTCCTACTGGGCAGAGGCGGGAGACCCCTAGTGTTGGATGGGAGAACCCCAGAGTTCACGGGGGCCTTGAGCTTCTCCTAGGGTTGAAGAGTTGGGCCAGTGCTGCTCAGGTGGGGGGCAGGGGGTGGGGTCGTGGTAGCTGACAACTTTGGGGCCGAGTGGATGACGTGAGGCCGTGTCTGTGGCTCTCCCTAAGGCTGGAAGGCATCCTCTCAGCAGACACAGTGTTGGTGTTTATTTTGTTAGAGCAAAGAAAAAAGAAAAACAATTCCCACTGTTGAAAGATACCCCCTTCTTTCCCACCTCACGACCCCACATAGATGCCTGCTTGCCAAGGCGGTGCTCAGTGTGGGATTCTACCCACGCTGACAGTGGGGGCTTGCCCAGGTCATGGGGGCCCCCCTGGATCCCAGCCTCACACCTCTCAGAACCAGAAGCCACACCAGGCTCCTCCTCTTTCTGGCAGGCTCCTGCACACACTGCCTGCTGCTAGGAGGTGGCAGGAAACCGGTGTTCCCAGCAGGAGCGAGGTCTCTGTTGCTGACAGCTCTCCCCCACCCCAGCTACCCAGAGTGGCTCTGATCATCGAAAGGACGCACACACTGGCCTTCCCCTGTTTACAAAGCAACCCCACTGGAGGCCGCTGGCCTGGGAGCCTCGCAGGGTCTCCCTCAACCTGCCTTCCAGCCCCCGAGGTGCCCCGACCCTGGAGGCCCACGGCCACCACCAGCCCTCATCTTAGCGAGCCAGGAAGGAGTCGGAGCAAACACACACAGACCATCGGGAGAGCCTGGCCAGGGCAGGATGGGTTAAGCGGCAGATTAATGCATCTCTGCTCAGACCAAGGGAAGCGGAAGTGGGGCGGGGGCGAGACGGCGCCTGGTCTCCGATGCATCGGTCATCCTCATGGTCAAATGCAGCCAGCCAGGACTCTAACTAGAAGCCAGCTCCGGAGCCTCGGAGTGAATGAAGCGCTTTGCATGATGGGTGTGGGGGAGCATCGTGACGCATGGCGCGGAGGTCTATGGCACTTACATCACTCATGAGCCCCTTAAACACCACCAGCTCCGCCTTGAGCCTCTCGATCTTCTCATTCATCTCCTCCTGGATGGCTTCAGCCTCCTGTGCTGCCTGCGGCACAGAGATGGGGGCAAGGTTGAGGGGGGCCGGGCATCCTGTGGGGTAGCATCGCACCCTGTGTGAATGTCCAGCCAGGTGAAGGGGTGCTAAGGACCTCGCTCAGCTTAAAACACTTGTCAAGGGATGATTTATTGCATGGAAAAATCCATGGCAGATATTAAGAGAGAAAGAGCAGGTTAATGTAACAAGTGATCGCAACAGGTTAGAGCACCAGGTCTATTCTTTTGAAACTGCCGATCATGGACCATCTCATCTCACGTGTGGCGACTTAACTGAACACACACACCTACAGGTATGTGTGTGTCTGCACGTCAAAGACTACCAACAAGGGAGGGCAGGACTGGAGGGAACTTTTACTTTCTTCTCTGTGCTTCTCTGAAGTTTCCAAATATTTTTGTGAACTAAAAAGTACTGTTGTTATCAAAGAAAGGGGGAACGTCATCCTTTTCCTCCTACATTCTGACATTACGTATTCTGCCTCTGACTTTCTTAAAAAGAGAAATACTTTAAATATCAGAAAGCAATTTTTTTAAGGTTTGAAAAAGAATTTCCCACACCTTCTCAGGAAGCTGTTGTTCTTGCGCCCACTTAACTGAGAAGAAAACAGAGGCCCAAAAGGTGAAGTTTGCTGCCCAGAGTCCATGGCATGCAGGTGACAGAAGGGTCCAGAACAGAGAGTCCAGAGCCAGAGTAGCAAGGGAATGTCCCCACACCAGCCATGGAGCGCCCACTGGGCTGGGAGCCCACCTGGTCACATGCCCACCTCTCCAGGCCCCCAAGTCTGTTACAAGTCAGTTTCCTCAAGCTGGGGCCAGAGGACCTTAGACACTCTGCAGTGCAAGTCTCAGGTGGGGAGCAAGAGGCTGTGGGGGGCACTAGCCCGGGACCCCCAGTAAGCATGGGGCTTGGAACCCTTCCTGCTCTGAAGCACAGGGAGGGACACTGAGTGGGGGCTGTGCTGGCGACTGCCCCAGCTTTGCCCTGTGAACACTGTGCCCTCAGACACCTGCATCTGCTGCAAGTCCCTCCTGGTGGCACCGCTGGGGCTCTTACCTCCTGGAGTGTGTCCACCATGGTCTGCAGGTTCAGGCGCTTGGCGAGCTCCTCCTCCCACCTGCAAAAGCCAAGAGGGACAGGTGGTCAGATGGGAGCTTATCCATGTCACTCCAGCCCTCAGACACAAGGCCAGCACCCACCCTGGCCCGTCCCAGGCTGGGAACCCACTGCTGCCTGGCCTCTAGGAGTTTCCAGTCTAGGGAGCTGATACAAAACCACCACACCGGTTGGCATTGACACAGCAAAACTTCATGCAAACCATAGAGTGTGGCTGCTCAGCTGTGGCTGCAGAACACCATGGAGGGGCTGGTCCCCGGGGCCAGGCTGCAGCCAGCTCCATGCTAAGACTCTGTATGGCAAGAAACATGCTTTTCCTGGGCTGATCACTGTGATCTTGTCCTGCAGCTACCCCCACCATCACAGATGTCTCCTACATGGCCGTCATCATCCTTGTCTTACGGAGCAGGAAACTGAGGCTCAGAGAGGCTAAACGTTTCACACAAAGACACACAGCTAGTGGGTAGGGTAGAGTTTCCAACCCAGGTCTGTTTTATTACATTACAAAAACAATGAATACAGCTCTTCTTATTTTTCATTTATTACATGCCAGGTCCTGTTCCAGGATCTTTACAGGTCACTGTCTCATTTGGGCACAGGTTGGACAGGAAAGGACAGGGGAAAGCCATGCCAGGGCCCCAGGGGTATCCCAGCACGGGCTGGGGGAAGGGTGGATGCTAACTCTTCAGTCACCACAACAATACCCGCTCACCGCAACTGAGCCTTCGACAGCCCACGTTACCCCAGATTACAAGTGAGGAAAGGAGGCACAGAGGCAGGTTCCCAAGGTCAGGCAGGCAGGACTCTGGCATTCATCACCCTGCCAGGCTCCCAACCGAGTTCCCCAGCTGGAGGAGGTGGGGGGGCCAGCTTGCTCCCCTTTCTCCATCCTGGGACACACAGCTTCTCTCCTTCCTCACCCCACTGCCACCTCCCTACATGGCCTCGGAGCTTGGAGGTCTGGAAGCCTTTTAGGATGCTGTCCCGCCCAGCTAAAAATAGGCCAGAGGGGAGAAATGGATGAAGAGTCCATTACATCACCGGCTTTTGGAAACAAGAGAAAACGGATACTGTTTGCACACAGAGGAAAATTCCTCCTCCCTCCCACACGAGACAGTCGGCCCTGGCCAAGGCTGCCGGAGCAAGCTCTCCCTCGCCCAGTTCCCATGTCTTCACCAGTCCCTGATGCCCGCGGCCAGAGCTAGAGCTGCTGTGGGCACAGGGACTCAGCGGGCAGGGGCTGGGGCTTCTGCCAGGGGTGACAGACACAGGAGAAGCTATGGAGGACAGCAAGAGAGCTGCAGTCTGAGCCAGGTGACATCTCACTTCATGCTACATCTAGGGAGACACAGGAGCTGGCCCAGGGCATGCCGGGAGTCTAGCCCTGGAGGGGACAGGACACCCTCACCTCCCAGCCGGCAGCATGAACCATGGAGAAAGGCCGAGCCCCGGAACACGAGTGCTGGGCTGAATCAGCTCTCCCGGCCATGCTGCTCGGCAAGGCCAGGGGACTCGATTCCCAAGCCACCGAGTGGAGCAGGGACGAGGAGGGCCAGGCATGGGCTGGCTCCTGCAGCGAGACTCACCGCTGGGTCTTGCAGCAAACAGCAGAAGCAGCGGAGAAGAGGAAGTGGGCAGTGAAGATGCAGGATGGGGAGCATGTCACCCCCCACACATCTCCCAGACAGGCTCCCGGGAATGGGGCTCAGCCCGCCCCCTCACCTTTCCTTTGAGCAACGTTCTCACGAGGAGAGTAGGAAGGAGGTCCACAGACCCATTACACAGATGGGGGAAGTGGGGTTCAGAGAGGGAGTGCAACTTGCTGGAACCAGCCCGCAGGGAACCCTGTCTTTGCAGCTCCAGCCTCCAAGCAGCCTGGATCCCAGGGGTTGGGCTCAGTGCTGCCTACACCGTGATCATCCGTGTCAATGTCACTTCCTAATGCTCTTGGGTAAAGAATTTCCCCCCAAACCCATCTGGGAGAAGAGGGAGCTGAGGCTCGGAGAGGGGAAGCAGCTTGCCTAGCTAGAAGCAGGGGTGGGACTCAAGTCTCGAACAGGGATGTGTGAGATCTCCCGGGGACCTTGTTCACACGCAGCTCGATTCAGCAGGCTGGGTGGGGTGGGCGCTGCATGTCTGATAAGCCCCCCTGCAGACCGCACTGAGGGCCCCACACCTCGCCAGTGTTCCTAAGCCGCACCCCAGCAGACGATCTTGCACAGTGATTTCATGGGCCTTTTATTTCCAGAGCCAGACGGCAGGCAGCCGGCACGCCTGCTCCCAGGAGACCGAGGACGGACCCCTGGCTGTCCACAGCAGCTGGCCCGGCAGACTGAATCTGCTGGCCACACTGATGTCCTTCCCAGCACTGCGGAGAGACCTGGCTCTGTCGGCTCTGATGTTGACAGTGCAGAAAAGCTCTGCCCTTCAGCTGCTGTGGCTGACAGAAGAGAGGACGGGCAGGTGGTGTGTTTCTTAGGCGCCCCAGATGCCCCACATTCACTACAACCTGGTCCAGGGGCAGGGAGCAGGCAGCTTAGCTGGAAACTTGTCAACCGAGTTGTGGGCTCTGAAATTTCAACACCTGTTTCCCAGGCATGGTCTCCTCCCGTGACCTGGATCTGCCCACGAGAGTTGGGTTTCGGCCGAGGGCCAGAGAGATGGGGAGCAGGCAGTTGCCACAGGGAAAGGTGCGTGCCCCGCCGGAAGGCCAGGGGTCGCTGATGTCAGGCCTCGTAACCCTTTGGGTCCTGACTCTCAGGCCCGGCCCTGCTGAGCTCAGAGGCTGACACTTGAGCAAGATGGCATGGCTAGGAAATGTGGATGTCTGGATGCAAACCAGGTCTGCCTGAACCCAAGTCTGGGCTCAGTCCAATTTGGGGGCTGCTGGAGAAACTGTGATTGGAAATCACAGAAGGCGGGCACACTTAAGACGGCATTCGGGGCATGAGAGTGAGTCACCTCAAGTCCCTCTCAGTGGTCGGGGCTGTTCTGCCAGGGAAGGAGAGGTCCCTTCTGGACAAAGGACCCCAGGCTAATAAGGGCCTGTCACTGGAGGACACTGGGAGCTGCCTGCTGTCTGGCTTTGGAAATAAAAAGCCCATGAAATCACTGTGCAAGATCGTCTGCTAGGGTGCGGCTTAGGAACACGGGCGAGGTGTGGGGCCCTCAGTGCGGTCTGCAGGAGGCTTATTAGACATGCAGCGCCCAACTCTCCCGTGGGGTGGCGTGGCGGGGGGCGGGGGGCCCAAGTACATCTGCTCCATCTACCATCTCACGCTGGCTGTGAAGCCACAGAGAAAGTCCCTCCCCACTGCACAGGTGGGGAAATGAAGGGCCAAGGGCAGACAACTGGAACCAGGGCCAACGTGGCCTGGAGCACCCCATGCCTCCCCACCCACCCGCACCCAAATTCTCCTCTCTTGTGGTGTTGGCTAAGAGCGGGGAGAGAACATTGACTGGTCACTCTCTCAGTGTGTGGCCACCTTCACCATGTTAGGCAGAGAGAGATTTAAATATATGGTATAAAACACCATCACACCTCCCCTAAGGACTGCCTACATATTGCAGACGAAAAAACAGGCTCAGAGCCTCCCTGGTGGCGCAGCGGGTTGAGCACCACGCTGTGAGGCTGCCCACAGTTTCTGCAGCACGGACTCGATTCCTGGCCAGCCAGGGAGAAACCCACATGGCGCGGCAGACCTCTCCTGCTGCGCCTGCTGCTCCCCTCAGCAGTGTCTTTGGTCAGTCTGCCTGTTTTGCTCCCTGCTCTGTCTCTGGTGAATCCTCTCACCCTCCTGTGCCTCTGGCCTTTACTCCAGTTCTTGTATAAATAAATAAATCTTGTATAAATAAATAAAAAAAAAGAAAAAGGAAAAACAGGCTCAGAAGTTATTCATTCTCCTTTTCCTCCTCTCCTTCCTCCTAAAAATCTCTTCATTCTCCCAGGAGTGTCTTAAATGTCTTCTCTTCCCCAAGCCTCAGCACACACTTCAATCCTTTTTCTTCCTGGCGCTCCAGCTTGAGGCTGCTGAGCCCCGTCTTGCCAGGCGGCTTGGCCGTGGTGGCACCTTACCAAGTGTGGCTCTCAGCCAGAGAGCCAGCCCGGCATGCCGGGGCAGTGCTGGGCCTCCTCTATCTTACCCACCTCCGATCAGATCCCACATCTGGCTTGTGTGCTGACCACGCCACGCCCTCTCTTGCCCCCACCATGTCCCCAAAAGTCCTTTTTCTTCCTCAGTCTGTAGGCCACCTCATATGCATCCCAGCCCCTCAACCCATAGCTGTGCACAGCGGCTTCTGAAGCAGGTTGGATGATGATGGCGAGGAGGGAGAGGGGGCAGAGCAGGGCAGGGGAGGGCAGGGACAGCTACTTGAATTCCATGTGTGTGATGCCAGGCACCTCCGAGGTGCTTCCCATGCACGGCCCCATTTAATGTCACGTGACCTGGAAGCCGACTCATTATCTACCTGATGAAGAAGCTGCCGTCCCAAACCATCAAGCACCTTACCTATTAAGATCACACAGCTGGGAAGGTGGAGTTTTTATTTTACAAAGGAGATCCCCCAAAGTGAATCAGAGAATTCCCCCAAAGTGAAGGCACTGCCTGGGGGCTTCCCAGGAGCCCAGTTCCCAGCACTGATTCTGCCCCACTCTGTCCAGTCCACTTGGCTCCAGAGCCTCTCCAGGGAGAGGCCTGGCCAGGCGCTGGCTGGCCAGGGCAGGATGTGGCAGGGGGACGAACAAGCCTTCCCTCTCCCACTTCCCACAGCCTGCAGGCCGGAGCGGGAGGGAGTCAGGACAATGAGCCAGGGAGAGGAAATGACTCCAGAGAAGCACACTGCAGCTGAGTCTTCCCAGGAGCAGCACATGTGTGAGGCAGGCTGGAGAGGGGTGGCAGCACCCCCCAGCCAGATGTGGTCAGCCCTCATTCCTGAGCGGCCACCGCTGGGACCACATGGTGGATGAGAAGTCCTGCCTGGCCGCTGGGGGAGGGGTGG